GTGCAGACGGCCTCAATTCTCATCTCAAACGTGCAGACGGCCTCAATTCTCATCTCAAACGTGCAGACGGCCTCAATTCTCATCTCAAACGTGCAGACGGCCTCAATTCTCATCTCAAACGTGCAAGCAGCCTTAGTCCCTGCTGACCCTACTGACCAATATTCTGTTGGAACGCTTTATTCAATTCAGTCCAATTCAATTTATTTTTATATAGCGCCTTTCACAACAGAGTCCTCCCAAGGCTCTTTATATAGATGTGTTGTGATGCATTACAACATCATTAGAGATGCCACTGAGCCTATACAGAACATAATACAGAACAGGAAAAAAAGAAGGAAAGAAATTATATAAACATAGTTAGGTGACAACGGAGAAGAGGAACCAAAAACTCTCAAGTAAGGAGACCTGGGGGTCCAAGGTCAGCTGACTGCTCACCCCCCCACCCCGCGGGCCTGCTAGCATTACTGAGGACAGTAAAGAGTGGACTTGCTTGCTAAAGGCTGGGTGGAAGCCTTATGCGTGGAGCGACTTTGTTTTTCACTACGTCCTCTTCACAGCCTAAATGCTGCTGGTGTCCTTAGAGAAGCTGTCTGACGCAGTTTGAGCAGAAACCCAGCTTCCCTTTCCACAGACCAAAAACAGCTTCGTTTCAAAGAAGAAGTTGCCCCCAAGGTCTGCAGATCCATATCAGGCTAATGACAGGCAGCAATAATTTATGAAATCGCCCACGGCTTTGCATATATACTATAAAAGATTAAAACATCACGTTCTGCATGCAGTTGCAAAAATCAGATTATGTCAGCTGTGCCGACAAAGGCAATTTAAGTTTCATGGGCAATCTGAGTATATCTTTTCTGTTTTGGGTGGATTTATTAATTAGGAATTTATTAAGTAGCATCAGTGGTACATAAGTAAGATCTATTACTATATTTTGTCCTCTGTACTCTGATTGAATGAGAACTGTTGACTTGTGCTTAAACTGAGTGTCCTATGGCTGCCATTTCCAGATTCTGCTGATCTATAATAATCTAGAAAAAAACTGTTTATACTGAGACACCACTTAGTTTTTTTCTAGGTTGTTTTTCTAATTATTGGCTGGTTTTGAACTTCATACAGGTTAGCTAACTGAATTATGAAGCATGAAGTGTCAGACGTGTTGAATTTCGACAGTATCCACTTGTGTTCCAACTGTTTGATTAAGGTCGCAGCAGGGAATGGAGTCAATCACAGAGCACATACACCCACGTGCTTAATCATGCTCGAGGGCAGTTCAGAGACTCCAGTCAGCCTGGCTGTGTGTCTTTGGACTGTGGGTTGGGTGGAAACCCACGTGGGCCGAAGAGAACAAACGCCACACATGCAGAGTGGAAGCATGAGTCAAACCATGAACCCTGGAGGTGTGAGGTAGCAGTTCTGACCCACTGTGTGCCCCATATCAGACTCGTCTTTGCGCGAAATTGATTGCGTGTGATTATAATTCTCTTTGTATTTTGTTGCTGTTTTTCAAATTGTACATCCCAGCTGTTGCAATGGAAGTTGCCCTGGAAGTGCGGAAAGTGGAGATTTGTGCAGTCCAAGCCACTGCAGGCTCACTGTGCAGTATTCACTGCTGCTGGAAAGGACATGAATCTGTAACCAGGTCTGACAGCATTGTCTGGTGTGATGAAGTACAACGTCCACCCTGTCAAGCACCTGCTGCCTTAAATCTTACGATGATGGGTGACATTTTGCAGCTATATATTATATTTTAAAGCCCTGGAACTGAAGCATCCGATTGTCCACGATATAAATCTCTTAAAGCCTTCTGCCCGCAGATCTGTCTGCTTAACTTCCAGTGAATTTGTACCGTGGTATCGAGTGAAATCACCTGTTAAGGCTGCAGTATTTCAACAGCAGGATCGATCTTTTGATTAATGTTTTGGATTGTGCCTGGCACTTGAGCTGACGTGTGTGTGTGTGTGTGTGTGTGTGTGTGTGTGGCTAGCCTAAGCAGAGACCACACTCAGGTCATGTTTAGCACACATTTTATCTTCTCAATTCTTTCAAAGTTTCTTTGCTTTTAAACATTCTTCTGCATCCATCACACAGTGCCGTTACACTGCCTAACCTGTCGTTTTCACAAAAGCCGCCTGCTCACAGCTGATAAAGCAGGTTAACTCACCTGTGCCTAGTCAGCTCTTTGGCCTGGAAGCCCAAGGCTCATCTACCAGTTCACATATCAACATCACTTGTTACACTTCAGAAATGCAATTACAGTGCGTGCCAAATTCCCTCACAAGCGGCACTCTTTCATTTCTTACTGCAACAATGAAAATTAGACTAAATGGTTAAGTGAGATAATTTCTCAGCGGCAGGGAGTGCCGAGTTAGATGTGTTTAATGATGTGGGTGCTCTAACACTCATTCATTCATCCTGGTCATAAGGAATGCATTTTGAGGAAAAGACTTCTTTAGGAATTTAGCCAACATTATTATTATTATCTACAGTTCCTGCTTTATTACAAGTCATAAATACTTTCCCATTTAGTCTGTTACAATTTCAAAGCTTCCAGAAATTACACAAAACGGATCGAAAACTGTTGCATTGGATTTTTTTCTTCTATGGATTAGTAAAATGTTTGAAGTTATTTACATTCCGTGACAACATAAAAAGTGCTAAATTCCAGCCCTGTCCCTACCTCCGGCAGAATTATGCTAAACAGAAGCTCAGTCTGGGCTCCTGAATGTGA